CGCCCCAATCAAGTCTCTCCTCAAGCCAGGAAGTACAGCTCGTTCCTTCAGCATCCATTCCCACTACAGCCTCGCAATCTCATATACCCCCCGCTCGACATCCTATGACAACCAGAACTCAAACCGGCTCACTCAAACCAACCGTTCGCCTAAATCTACTCGCCCACAGAACCAACAACTTTGATCAGGATCCCGATCCTACAAGTTTTAAAGAAGCCGTCAAACAACACGAATGGAGGCAATCAATGGCCGAAGAATTCTTGGCTCTCCAAAAGCAAGGCACCTGGCATCTCGAACCACCCCCTCCCAATGCTCAAGTGTTAGGCTGCAAATGGACCTTCCACAAGAAATTTAACGCGGATGGCTCAATCGCACGTTTTAAAGCTCGTCTTGTGGCTCAGGGCAATCAGCAAGCACACGGCATCGACTACGCCGAGACATTCAGTCCCGTTGCGAAAATTCCAACCATCAGAGTCCTGTTCACCGTCGCACTTTTCCACAGTTGGACGGTTCAGCAATGGGATGTATCCAATGCCTTCTTGCACGGCCAGCTCAATGACACAGTCTATATGAATCAGCCATGGTGGTTCACCGATGAGAACTACCCCAACCATGTTTGCAGACTGCTCAAATCCATTTACGGTCTGCGTCAAGCACCCCGTCAATGGTACACTATGTTCACCAACCATCTTCTCAAGCTCGGGTTCGATTACAGCAAGGCAGATCCGTCCCTGCTCACCCTTCACCGGGACAAGACACGCATATTTTTACTAGTCTACGTCGACGACATCCTAGTCACCAGCAACGACGACAAAGCCATCTCCTCTGTTCTGATGGAACTACAATCCAAATTCAACATGAAAGATCTCGGCCCAGCACATCATTTTCTCGGCATAAAAATACAGAAACATTCAGATAAGTATTTTCTATCCCAATCCTCTTATGCTGAATCAATCCTAAGTTCTGTTAATTTAAACAACTGTAATCCTCTCTCTAATCCGTCTTGCACCAAATTACCAGACCAAATGCCCGACGACGCCATTCTCTCCGATCCAACCACCTACAGGAGAGTTACGGGATCTCTTCAGTACCTTACCTTAACTCGACCCGACATCACTCATGCCGTCAATGTACTAGCTCAACATCTCCACGATCCAACACCACAACATTCCTATCTGCTCAAGCGGTTGCTGCGGTACATCAAAGGAACGGTGAAACTCGGATTACCTATTCTCCCAGGACCACTTACTCTATCTACCTACTCCGACGCAGATTGGGCCGGCGATCCCAACACCCGAAAATCCACTACCGGACATTGCACCTTCCTCGACAATACTCTTATCTCCTGGACAGTCAAAAAGCAGAACACCGTAGCCAGATCCTCCACAGAGTCGGAATACCGTGCGTTAGCTGCCGCCACTGCAGATACCATCTAGCTGAAACGGCTGCTCACCGACTTCCTCATCCCATACAACCAACCGATTGACTTACTCTGTGATAACATGTCGGCCATCGCCCTGGCTCACAACCCTGTTTTCCACGCTCGAACAAAGCATATCGAGATCGATCACCGGTTTATCCGTGATCATATTCACAACCAAGTGATTCGGCTTCTACCGATCAGCACCACATACCAGTTAGCCGACATCTTAACGAAGCCATTATCCACATCCAGATTCAAGGAGTTACGATCCAAGCTAAAGGTTGCTAAATATTCAGGAAGAACCTTTAGCTTGACAGGGGCTATTAGAACCCTGGATTAAAGCCTCCAACGGCTAACTGATTTAGTATCCAATAAGAACATTACGCGTGTACCAGTATTGTCTATATATTAGCTTGTACCTAGGCTGAGTCAGATAATAAAACATAATAACATTTCTTGGTCTCTGTTCCTTCTTCTTCCTCAGCTCCGGCGTCTCTTCTTGCCGGAGTTATCTCCTCTCTGTTTCTACATGGTATCAGGCCTTTCTTTATTTTTCTACCCTCGTCAATGACAACCTCACAATTGGCTTCCTCCTCTGCGGACACCGACCAATTACCAGGCCCTCCGGTGGACAACTCTCCGATCTCTCCATCATTAAAATTCGTCGTCTCAAATCTCAAGACCATCGTCCCCAACCAACTATTGATCGACAACTACCCGATCTGGCGTCATCAAATCCTAAAATTGCTTCGTGCAAACGACTTCGATCAATTTCTTGCTCCGCCTCCTACCTCCGGCGAATCGCCCGATCAAACAAACGCTCTGTCCATCAAGAACTGGCGCATCACGGATCAAAATCTTCAGGCAGCCATCTGCTCGACGATTTCTCCGACCATCCTACCCTACATTATTCACCTCGACACAACCCACCAAATCTGGCAAGTTCTTGAAAGCCAATTTCAGGCAACCAGTCGCTCCAAGGTAATTCAGCTCAAGAACGAGCTCCACCACGTCTCTATGAAGAACTCATCGATGATCCAATATCTGACCGAGATAAAGAAATTAGTCGATCAAATCGCTTCCGCCGAGTCCACGATCGACTCTGAGGACATCATCCTGCACATCTTGAACTGGTTACCTCCCGCCTATCAATCATTCAAGACGTATATCCGCAACTATCCTTCCCCGCTTCGGCTAGAGAATCTATACGCCATGCTCATCAGTGAAGAGATCCACATAAGCGCAGATGCTGCTCGCCAATCTAGCGAGTCTATCCAGCAGACCGCTCTCTACGCCGGCAGGGGACGTGGACGCCGATCCAGAGGACGTTCCACGCAAAACTCCAGCAACACAAACCGTTCTGTTCAACAGCAGCCAGCCTCGATCTGTCAGATCTGCCTCAAGAAAGGTCACACGGCTGATGCTTGCTGGCATCATATGAACGCAAACTACACTCCATCTACAAACGTATCCAAACAGAATACTGCTCTAATGGCGAACCCCGAAGCATCGGCCGGCGATTGGTTTCTTGACTCCGGAGCCTCCTCCCACATGACCAACGCCGCTGACAATCTGTCTCAGCCAACGTTATACAATGGATCCGACGGCATTTTTCTCGGGGATGGAAGAAATATCCCCATTGCCCACTCGGGCACGGGCATTCTTCCTACCCCGAATCGTAAGCTCTTCCTATCAAATTTACTTCACGTCCCAAACATTTCCCATAATCTCTTATCTATTTCTAACCTTGTTAAAGATAACAATATTTCAATTACATTTGATCCGTCGGGATTTGTTTTCAAGGATCTGATGACCGATCAACAGCTGCTTCGAGGACCTTGTAGCGGCGGTCTATACAGGTTACCAAAGGAATCCGTATCT